TCTTGTTGGCAAACTCTCGATGCTTGTAGCTGCTGCATCGTGAGTTTGAGGAGAGATGTTAAGAAATATTGGGTAATTTTATTTTATTGTTTATTAAGGGTAGAATAGTTTTTTCAATTTCCTTTGTTTAGACTATATATAGTCTCTTTGTTTCTAGGTTAAATCATCTTTTTGTATTCAATTGCATTATGCAGAATTAATGAAACCCTAGCCTCATCTTCCTTTCTTTATTTCTTTGGATTGTTTAACACATACAAATAGGACACATGTTTTTTGTGGTGATTGGTCCAGCAGCCAAATATGTGATGCTCAATGGGCTCCTGAGATGGCTGGTACTTTGCCGCCTGTTGCAAGTGGCTGGATTGGAGAAGTCGGCTAGTATCATTTCCTGTACTTGAGAGTTGAACAAGTGTCCTTTAAAAATAGCGTGTGTTTGTTTCATACCTTGTTAGCACTTCTTGACTTTATTTTGGTATCATAACATTTTTCCTATCCCTTGTCATAATGAATTCTTACATTCTTTTGGTGAGAAAGAGCTTATTTTCTTATTCGTAAGGTGAAATTTAAATTATTGACCACTCTCTAAAGACAACTAGAAGACCAATGCAATTTGTCCCTCGTTACATATACACTCTGAACTAGGTTTTAAGTGAAGAACTGTATTATTTCTCTTTAACTTAACCAAATATGTTAGCGTTTATCTCTTTTTGGCAACAAAGTTACTTCTGCTATATAGAACTCCTTTTCTCTTAGTTTAAATTTGTGTGCATCAATTCAGTTACAGTGGTAGCTACTGATGGATGGGAGTTTGCTACTGCACCTCCAATGCCAGGTCCTGGAGTTAATGAAAGTTCTCATGTTGCTCCAACTAGCTAGGAATAAATGAAAAAGATTTTATTCAAGAACTTGTTCCCTGAACTATTTCCATTTTGTGTTTTTCTTACCTCTTGATGAGCTTGGACGTTTGTTAGACTTTTCTGCTATAAATGATTTTGTTAGAATTCGAGTTTTTTCTTTCTTTTTGCCTTTTGTAGCCAAAAAACACCCCCTTGTGGTTTAGTGTTATTTGAAACATTCAATAGGTGATTAATTGAAATTTCGACTTGTGTTTTTAATCTTTCCATGTGCTCTTTTTTATTTTCCAAATGGCTTTTTATTTCAAGTTATCAATTTTTATGCAATTACAATATTTGTTCACAATGAGTCATTTTCAATTTTGCCAATCAATTTGCATAAAATGCTGTAAACAAACAAAAAAAACATATGGCAACGGTCAAAAAACGTAGTAAAAAATTTATCTTCTTATGATTTTATTCGGGATCCATTTTTCAGCTTTTAGGATATATTAATTTGTTAGTTCAAGATCCCTCTTACTAAATGGAGGTTTCCTCATTATAAAGCACATACTGTTATGTCAATTTGCCCTAAGCCTCCACCAACCTCGGTGCCCCCGTATCCCTACTATAGATCATTCCAGTAATAAAGGTCTAGAAAAAAGATATGAAGAGGTTCAAATATGAAATTGTCAGATTTTAAATTTAGATATAGGGGTTAGGAGGTGATAATCAAAGCAGGTGCTGGAGGTGCCATCACTTTGGAATGGGTTTGCCATGGCTGTGGGTAGTGAGTCGATGATCATGAAAAAAACGAAATTTGGCATGATTTTGAAAATGTAATAAATTGGAAATTTAAAAGAATTGATGAAAAGCTGTGAATTCAATTATTTATACGACTATTTTGGGTAATTATTTAAATATATTATTTGAAGTCTTGTCCTATTTAATTTTTTTTTTAAATTTTAAAGGGGAGTCAAATGATATCAGACATTTTCAAAAGGAGGCTTGGAACTAGGTAATCAGTTCTTAATCAGTGGCGGACTTAGCACCCGACGAGGAGGTGCAACTGTCCGTCCTGGCTCCGTCGAAATTTAGAGTCGCCATCGGGAGGAAAACTTGAAGCGGCCACACAGGGAGTGTTCGGTTGAAACCTGCAAGCGTACATGATCGTTGT